TGGTTAGGCTTCACACTCTCTCATCCATCAACACTCACTGGCTGCAGAGCAACACTACCTGAAAGCTGGAGTCACAAAACCAGGGATTACCAGCAGTAATTACAAGATCAGTGGTTTCTATCTCCATGATGAGCTTCTCCTTATCTAGGCTCCCATCAGTGGCCTCTGAACACCTTTGACCTGTTGACTTCAAGTCTGGCTCTGCTCATTGTGATGCTTTGCTGTTTTAAGTAGTGATGTACCATCCGGTTTAACACAGCTGATTCTACCCTGAAAACTGACTGGCTGTCTGGATGTTGTTTCAGTGTTTTTCACTGTAACTTGACTGTTAAACTGAGACCTACTTGAAAAAGATGAATGGCTAAAACTCAGGTGAATGTGCCATCAAATGATATTTTTTTAGGATGCAGATGTAAAGATTGCAGGGAATAGGAAGTCTTTTCTTTAAATCAGAACACCCTGAGTTGGTACCTCCCCAGAGCCGTACGTCACTCTGCATCATCAGATAATGAGAGATAATGATTGTTCTGAGATTGTGTATGATTCAGAAATGTCAAAACTTGATACTGTTGAGAAATTAATCATTGAGAACATGCTCAAACACATTTTTTAGGTTGACTTTCAATAAAGTTGACAGTGTCAGGTTTCATATGACATTCTTCTATCAGGGTGATGTTTTAAGTTTCCTGCATTTTCAAACTACTGTCCAACTAAAAGTGTTGTGGACACAAAGCCAGCAGACTGGTGAAAAGTCAGGGCAGAGAGATTCCCCAGACCAGCAAATCTGTCTTTGCAGTATCTCAGCAAACCAGCAACATTAATTGAATGTCAGCGCCTGAACTAATCATAACCGTGTTGTGCTCCTCACTGACACTTGACCATGCCTTTTTTTTCTCAAAACAAACATGTAGGGCAGAAAAGTGAACACGGAGTCACACAGTTTTTTCTGTACAGCTCTTGTAGCTTTACTTTTCTTTGCTTAAACTCCATAAACTATTGAAGATATTTCCAGGTGTATTTTGTATTATTATTCATCCTAGGGCACTGGTTTTCCTGCTCATGTTTGCATGCTTTATCCAGGTACCACCTCTCATCTAAACAAAAGGGAGAATGCGTGCTGTATTTGTGACAGGGTATACTAATTATGATCGAGCCTCTGTGGACATATTTGGTATTTGTATTTGAAAACAGTTATTGTTTTCCATACTCAGTCTATCATTTCTTGTTGCACCTGCATTGGTCCTCCCTCCACCCCCCACCCGCATCCAGCACTCTCCAAATGTGTGGATGGAGTCAACGGGCCAGCAAAGCTCTCCTCTCTGCATACATTTAAATTAATTGGGGGCATGAGATGCAAACCCAAGTTTTTATCTTCACAATCCAATCAGGTACATTTAACACACTAACAGACTAAAATATATGGAAACACGCATGCACGCACGCAAACACACGGACATGCACTGGGAGTGCTAATTAGTACGCTGAGGCCCTATGTGTACAGCCACTAGGTTAAGTTAGATGCAATAGTGGGGTTAAAGATGAATTTTTTCCCCCTTAATTTATGGATGACGATCGTATTCAAGTACTTGTACCTCATTGAATTTTATTACCAACTCAACAAAACTGTTAAAATGAGACATAATCATTTCTATTTCTTCCATCTGTTTGCAGTAGGCTAATGTTTGCTTACTAGAAATTACCATAGTGTCAGGTATGGATGTAGGACCCAAGTGCAGCACAATGCCAGGTTGTTGTTAGAAGCTACTTTTATTATAACAGTTCACAGAAGACAGGTATTTCAGCAGGTAACAGGTAAGAATAAACTGGTTTCGATTTAGCAGTCTCTGTAGAAACGCCAAGATCCACAGTACACAGATCCACAGGAAACTGATCCAACAGGCGGAGCAGTCTCGAGCTGTGTCTCATTTTAGAGACCCCACCGTCGAACGGCACATTTCAAGTGTGTGTGATGTCATCACACGGCGCGAACAGTGTCCCATTTGGCTCGTAATTCTGAGTGCGCTTCAAATGCGGTCTCAAAACCACACTGCCCTCGCCCCTTTTTCAAGCGTGCATTTATGCACGCTTTTGTGGCCTTGGTATCCCAGAATTCATTGTGTGGCGCTGCGCATTTCGGGTGAGAGGCCGGACTTGCTTGGAGACGCAATGTGTCTTTAAAGAAAATAAAAGAAATCCAAAAACAGCAGACAGTCAGCTCAGGCTGCATGAGCACATGATCTCTTAACTCACTAAAATCTGCAAACCAAACATGATACTCCTTAGTAACAAACTGATCCGCAATGCCACCACAATCAAAAACATTAGAAATAAGAGGCTGACAAAACTACATCGGAGTATCAGGGCCACATCGAGTTTTTTTTAAAGACTCTGTAAAGAAGTTGTAAATTTAGGAGAATTAAGTCATAAAATAAATAAAGTCATAAAGCTGCTTTTGTGGAGGGGTAAATGACTGAAGATGGTCATCTGCAGGGTTATCGGTGGATGCATCAGCGGGTCATTCAGAGAGCTTTTGTGGTTTTTCAAGAAACAATCCAACTGATGATCAACATTTGTGATCCAGAGGGAGTCGAGCTCCGACAAGCACCACGTCTCTGACACCAACGTTATCCTACACCTGCAGAGACACCAACACCTTATTATGGCATATGGATTCATATCATAAACTTAAGCTCAATGTCATTCATGTATATTTACGGCTGCATTGACAGATATATCCGCAGCATATCCATTTCTGCCTCCACAAAAGCAGCGATTTCCTCCAAGTCCACCTGTTTTTTTTCCGTGTAAAAGACACATTTCTCATATGCTTTTTTAAAGTCCTTATACTTATGACAATGTAATGCTGATGTGCCAAAGGATGAAGTATCTCCTTGTCTGTGAAACCTATACTGAAGCACAGTTCCTTCAAATGCTTCATGGCTCTAATTTTAACAGTTCTCCTTTACAGTTAACCTTATGACTTTATTTTCATGAATTAATGACTTTATTCTTGTAAATTCACGACATTAAAAAAAATTCTCAATATGGCCCTCATACTCTTTCACACAAAATATGCAATCATTGGATGAATTTTGTGGAAATGATCTGTGCTTGTATGTATCTCTTGTTTTGTGTCTGTGCAAGGTGGCACAATGAAAAAATAACTGCAGCGCTCCACGGCTTTTCTTCAAGTCAGTCGTGACGCGAGCCTGAGGGTGGGGACATTTGGTGACTCAACCAGGAAGTCCTCCGAAGGGTCCCATTTAACAAAAACCGGACCATCTCACCCAGGATCCTCAAGTCCACATAACGGCAGGTCCCTGGGTCCATCTGGATGCTGTCCTTGGCCACAATGTAACCCAGGAAGGAGACAGATGGGGCATGGAACTCACACTTCTCTGCTTTGACGAAGAGGGAGTTCTCGGGGAGACGTTGGAGCACAGCCTGGACATGGTGAATATGCTCACTCAGGGTCTTGGAGAAGACCAGGATGTCGTCGAGGTAAATGAAAACACAGCGGTTGAGCATGTCTCGAAGAACGTCATTGACCAGGGCTTGGAAGACAGAAGGGGCATTGGTGAGGCCGAAGGCTATTACCAGATACTCGTAGTGCCCAGATGGAGTGTTGAAGGCCGTCTTCCATTCGTCTCCCTCTCTAATGCAGACCAGATGGTAGGCATTGCGCAGGTCAAGCTTGGTAAAAACTGTGGCCCCTTGAAGCAGTTCAAAGGCAGAAGAGATGAGAGGCAAAGGGTAGCAGTTCTTTATGTTTATGTCATTCAGTCCTCGGTAATCAATGCAAGGCCTCAAAGTAGTATCCTTTTTCTCAATGAAGAAGAATCCTGCCCCAGCAGGAGAGGAAGAGGGCCGGATGATTCCTGCTGCCAGAGAGTCTTTGATGTAAACCTCTATGGCTTCTTTTTCAGGTGCAGACAGGGAGTACAGGCGACCCTTGGGCGGAGATGTGGCAGGCAGAAGGTCAATAGCGCAGTCGTAAGACCGATGAGGGGGCAGTGATGTGGCTTTGCCCTTGCTGAAGACTAGACAGAGGTCATGGTATTCAGTGGGTACCCCAGAGATGTCAGGCGGGGGGGAATTGGATGAGGCAAAGGAACCCTCTCAAGCCCCAACTGCTGAACCAACCCCTCGTCGATGATACAGGTCAGCACCAGAGTCTATGAGTGTGGGCAGGAACTGAGAGCCACCAGGGAGGAGCAACCGGGCTTGGAGCTGAGGTCTCTGTAGTTGAGGGGAGGGCATGACAGTTGGACTCACCAGTATCTCCCCAACTACTGGTAAGCCTTGGCTTTTACTGAACAGGTGAATTTGAAGTGACCGGCCTTACCACAGTACATGCAGAGGTTAGATCACCTGCGTCGCTCTCGTTCCTCTGGAGTAAGGGAAGCACGGCCCATTTCCATGGGCTCAGGTTCTTCCAGCAGCTGAGCTGACGAAGGTGTAGAGTTCCTGGCATGCCCTCTGGACTGGACGGAAGAATGATGAAAGGATCCCTGTCGTTTCTCTCATCGGCGAGCCTGTATGTGGAGATCAATCCAGATGGCCAGCTCTATTACTCCATCCAGTGATGAGGGCACATCATGGAGACAAGCTCATCTTTAATGTACTCGGCCAAGCCATGGAGAAAAGCGTCCACCAGGGCAGCAGGATTCCAGCTGCTGAGACTGGCTCTGGTGCGGTAGTCTATACAGTATTCGGCCACTGTGCGTTCCCCCCGTCGCAGCCCCATGAGCCCTCGAGCAGTCTCTTATCTGGAAAACTCCAGGCTGAAAACCTTGTGTAGCTCCTGAGCAAAACTCTCGAATGTGGAGCAGGCTTAAGACTGTCTCTCCCACTCAGCAGTTCCCCAAAGATGAGCTCTGCCTGTGAGTTGGTTAATCGTGAAAGCGACTTTTGCCTGCTCTGAGGCAAAGGTACGGGGCTGATGAGAAAACAGCAATGAGCAGTATGTCAGGAAGGGGCCAAAAGTCTCTGAACTGCCATCATAACATTCTGGGACTCCCACATGGGGCTCCGGAGTACCACTGGGCAGAGGAGCGACTGGAGCCGTAGCTGGACCTGGAACTGGAACTGGAGCTGGAGTTGGGGTAGCCGGCGAGGAATGGGTAGCAGCCGATGAAGTGATTAAGTCTGTTAATTGCTGTAATTTAGTAGCTAATGCAGAGAGAGTCTGCTCATTAGCCTGGGCCACCTGGCTGGCTTCTAAGTAGTTGGGGCCCTAAGTCACATTTTACTTCAAGTCATGCTACAAATGTCCCCTTTGATATGGAAGTACCTTAGGGTCATAAAAAACATTTTATCCAAAGAGACAAGTTAGATCACCCTTCAATTTCTTTTTATCGCCATTTTAAAAATGGCCGCCGACAATAAACCGCCAATACACCAGACTCCATATCTCTGCTTCTGTTAGAGCTATAATCATAATATTGGTGTCAAAGTGCAAATTTTTGGGGTCTAGGAATTCAATTAAATAGGTTTCAATGTAAAAAACCCAATGCATCATTAATTACCATGACAACGGGGGGTAAAATATGCAAATTTCATTATAAAATGTACATTTTGACAGGGTAACTTACCCCCCCACCCCTCCCCCTAAACTGAGATTTACTGTTCCTTTGGCATGGAAGTACCTTAGGGCCATAGGAAACATTTTATCCAAAGAGACAAGATCACCCTTCATCTCCGAAATAAATGGGTTTACAAATGTAAATGTAATTTAAGTAATACAGCAGAGATTTACAATTCCATAGCATCATAACGGGTGCATGAACCATGACATCCACAGAGAGACATGCATGGCTGCCTCTGCATGCAGCATTTGCAAGGTGGCTTACAGTCTGTCTTGCACTTGCAAATAAGTTCTGGCAAGTCCCTTGAAATAATTGCAGTAGTCGTGTACAGAGGTGTGGGTGCTCTGTCTGGGGAATCCTGCTGCCATCCCCACTGTGAGGGTGAGACAGTAGCAGCATCTTTGATCAGCATATTGCCCCAAACATGTCCACTCTGTAAAGAAAAATACGATTAGTGATATACTTTATGACATTTAAATAGTATGCCCCTATGTATGGCTGTCTTATATCGTTACCTGAGGAGGTGCTGATGGAGTGCATCACTGCTTGGCGGCATGTGATCAAAGTCTCTTCCTTTGTGAAGGAAAAGGGAGAGTCGAGCAGCATCCACAGTCCTGATGTCGTCCTCGGACACGCCATACAGCTTCAGGACAAATCTCTGGAGTATGGGTGTGCTGGTTTTGATAATCTCAGTTGTAGGGCTAGGGCCAGAGAGCAGCAGAAGAGGCAAGGTCAGTTCAGACATGCATGGACTGCCACACAGACCAAGCTGTCTTCTTGCCCTTGCCAAAAAAAGCTGAGGTGGTGTCGCACCCTGTTAAAGCGTGGAATGCTGGCAGTGCCATTGCCTTTGATGGTCCCAGGCTGTGAGCAATAGCATGTGCTGGAATGTACCTGGTGAGGGAAAATGAATTGGTTACTTCTTTGCCAAATTAAGTGAAATACTTGATTTAACATAGAGATGATTGTACTTGAAGTGACGGTGTACTCCAAATGCAATCCAGAGCTCATCCATCCTCTGTTCAAGGGCCACAAAAGCGGCAATGGCCAATACTACAACATCGCTATCACTGCTGCGGACCATCACTCTACAATGTCGAGCAAGTGTAGCTGCAGCCACATGCAGAAACAACCGAGTATCGGCTTCTTCTTGTGTGCAAGGGGCCAATGCATTAGTGTTAATGCCAGCTGGTGATGTTACACATTCATCAAGTATCGTGGTGAATAGCTCCTTGCCCTAAAATAAGACAGTGTAATTGAAGATATGTTAATGAAGTCAGACTTATTGACTACAGCATGTACAACCATCCAGAAGACACACTAATTCATACAGTAATACCTGTGGAAGTGTCATCTGCTTCAAGCTTTTGGCCAGCTCCACAAACAACTCCTGCTTGTTCAGATCCACCTGTAGGAAGGCAGCCCAGTTCCCAGGAACTTTGGTTGAGAGAGTCACCCTCCTCCTCGCACCAGTGCCTCTTTGCTCCCGGATGCCTGACTTCAGACTTGTCTTGGAGTACACATCCCAGACAATGTCAATGCGGTTATTTCTGTCAAACCAGGAAAGGATGTATGGTGCTAACACGTCAGTGAAATACTGTCCAATGGTCGCAGCACTTCCAGGACGAAGCATTTGGACAAGTACAGCACCATCCAACACAGCTGCAGTTGTCACTGGTCTATGCTTGTCGAGATCCCTGGGAACAATGCAATCTAGGATCTCACTCTTGTTTCCATGGTGCATTTTCCCTTTCCGAGTAAGAGAGGGTGGGTGGTGGGAACTTTCATGCGAAAACACACCCTCATTGATTTCGCGACCAGAATGAACAGCCAGCAAAAGTTTGGTCACTTGTGCATGTTGGTCCTTGACAACAGCCACCTCTGATTTGCTTTGTGGTTGGGAAAGCCGAGCCTTGAACAACTTCAGCCTGGTGTGTGATATTGGAGCAGTGAATGCCTCTTCCTGTGACCTGATTCGCTTGTCAACAAATGCATCGTATTTCTTCATTCCTATGTCTTTCACCTTCCTTACATTTTCTACCACATCTGGGGGCATAATCATTGATTCATCCAAGTCCAGCAGATCCCCACTATCAGCACCCCACAGACAAAGGCAGGATGCTGCATCGCACACTGATCACTCCTGTAAACTTTCTCCACCACTTATAAAACTTCTCTTGAGTATCTTCTGTATTAAATAGGAAAGTAATACAAACCTCAAACTGAACCTCAAAGTGTCTCAGATTTTCTGTCACCTCTGATTTCATCCAGCTGTCACAGACCCCGGTATAGAATTCATGTTTTGTGGCAGCAACTGTCTACGAGAGGTGTAACACTCAGCAGTCGTACAGACAGATACAAATGCAGTCAGACAGAGACACATAGAGTACATAAGAGGCTGTACCATTTTTCTTTTCTTTTTCTTTTTTAGGGGGGCATTTTTAAAGTCTCCTTTTTGACACTTATTTTGTTCATGAAATTTGCATATTTTACCCCCCGTTGTCATGGTAATTAATGATGCATTGGGTTTTTTACATTGAAACCTATTTAATTGAGTTCCTAGACCCCAAAAATGTGCACTTTGACACCAATATTATGATTATAGCTCCAACAGAAGCAAAGATATGGGGTCTGGTGTATTGGCGGTTTATTGTCGACGGCCATTTTTAAAATGTCTATTAAAAAAAATTGAAGGGTGATCTAACTTGTCTCTTTGGATAAAATGTTTCCTATGGCCCTAAGGTACTTCCATGCCAAAGGAACAGTAAATCTCAGTTTAGGGGGAGGGGTAGGGGGGGTAAGTTACCCTGTCAAAACGTACATTTTTTCATGAAATTTGCATATTTTACCCCCTGTTGTCATTGTAATTAATGATGCATTGGGTTTTTTACATTAAAACCTATTTAATTGAATTCCTAGACCCCAAAAATGCACTTTGACACCAATAATATGATTATAGCTCTAACAGAAGCAAAGATACGGGGTCTGGTGTATTGGCGGTTTATTGTCGGCGGCCATTTTTAAAATGGCAATAAAAAAAAATTGAAGGGTGATCTAACTTGTCTAAAATATGGATATGGATAAAATGTTTCCTATGACCCTAAGGTACTTCCATACCAAAGGGGATATTTGTAGCATGACTTGAAGTTTACAGCTTATTTTTTGGGCTTAGGGACTCGACTAAAGGCAGCAGCAGACAACATAGTCTCATGCTGTTGCAACATGCTCTCAATCCTGGTCAGTCTGTCCAAGGGTGATGGGTTGCCTGCTGGGTCTATTTCTGGCCAGATTGTACTGGTGCAGCACAACGCCAGGTAGTTGTTGGAAGCTACTTTTATTATAACAGTTCACAGAAGACAGGTATTTCAGCAGGTAACAGTTAAGGATAAACTGGGATCGATTTAGCAGTCTCTGTAGAAACTCCAAGATCAACCGGAAACAGATCCACAGGAAACAGATCCAACAGGCGGAGCAGTCTCTGTAGAAATGCAGCGGCACTGCCTCAGGGCAGGCTGGGCTCATGGTCGATGTGGAGGCAATGTCGAATCCTGGCAGGCAATCAGTAGGGCAGACAAAACCCAGAGGGAGCAGAAGGAGGGATGGACGTGGACAGGCAGTAGGTCAGGGAGCCGGCAACACAGCGAAACCTGAAGTACTCACAGGAGTGGAGAAACTTGACAGGGGATCCAAGGGCTGAGACAAGACGATGTTGTCAGAGGCAAGCAGGAGTCGAAACCGAGAAGTCAATCTGAGAAATAATGCTGGATAGTCGTGCATGCTGCGAAGACAATCTGGCACTGAATGAGGGACACAGAGCAGGTTAAATACTGGGTGGCTGTGAGGAGCTGCAGCTTGACACTCACAGGTGTGGGGAATCAGCGCTGATGAGGAGGTGTGGCAGGGAGGTAAGTGAGAATAAGCATGAGAACACAGCAGAGTGTGACACATAGAACTCCCCCAGATTTGCAAAACCTCCTTAAGACCTGCAACACTTGTGATAGGAAATTCATTAAATAAAACTCAAACTCTGTGCTCAGTTCATACAGTGAATTAATTTACAATTGGCAATTTATTCACCAATCACCAGACACTGCACCTGTCCTCGAATCCACCAATCGGGGGGCACACCTGCAACAGCACTCAAGTCAGCAGACACACCCAAAAATCTGAAACAGCCATACCCTGCAGCAGAGGAAAAAGAGCTGCTCAGCACAACAGGAACCAATGACAGAATATATGACCCAGGGTCCTAACACATAGAGGATACCAGGATAGGCGACCCGAGGATATCTGTCGGATGTTTTGGTAATTTTTCTTTGTCTGTAAAAGAAAAGTAATCTGTAGGAAGCATCAATCATAGACTAGGACCCCGTTGGGGCACTGGCGGGCCCGAGCCGTGTTGCGCCCCCCCCCAACGTGCTGCCTTCCCGTCCCATTTGTGTCCTCTGGCCATCGCCCTCTCTGGTAACGCCCATCACTGCAAAGACCCTTTTCCTTCATCGGCGTTTGCTGTTCTTCCTGCCAGTGCGTGTTGCTTTCACTTACACTTGCCACAGCCAGCCTCGTGAGTGCCTAGCCTATTGGATATCACTGTCACCTACACAGGACAGTCATTACCTTTCTATTAATACTTTGTGTTTTAATTTCACATTAATTTCCATATTGTATAAACGACTGGAAAAAACTTGAGCCCCTGCCCCTGTATAATCATGTGCATGTCTCTGTTCTAGCTCCAAGGTGAATCTTCACTGCTCATGTTCTCCTCAGAAGCACTCACCTCACTCCCCTCAGGTTACTGTACACATGCACCAACTGCCTGCTTCAGGTTTGGATGGAGCTTCATGGTTGTCTTTTGGAGAAATGACCAGTCAAGTTGTGTTTGAAATTTGATTTTTTTTCAGGGGCAAAAGGAGCCTCTGCATTCTTGTCAAATATGTAAATAGCATGTTTTTGCAGGTGCTAAAAACCAGACTCTGAGTGTGTGTGTGTGTGTGTGTGTGTGTGTGTGTGCGTGTGTGTGTGTCTGTGTGTGCGTTCAAGTCACATGACATATTTAACCGGATGTAGCTGCAAGACGGAGCCTTGTTGACTCTCCGTTTCAACTTATCTCAAAAGTGAGGACCTCAACCTATATACCAGTTTTTAAATTGTGTTGATAGGCCAAATAAAACCAGAGTTATGATAAATTATGTCCGCGATACTTTTTTTCTGCTTATTTTGATCACGTTCGGCGCTCGATCGCGCTGTATGAGACAGGAAAACATAGCATGCAGACATTAGCGACAGGTCTTACAGGCGGAAAAGGCTTGCCAAAAGAAAAAAAAACACACCACAACATCTCTCCTATTGGTGGAAAACTTCACCACAACAACCAATCCAAAATTATATGGTGACTGATTGACAAGGGGCGGGCGCTTACGTTCTTCCTGCAACATGAGAAGCGAGGGAGGGACTCTCAGCAGGGATGCAGTCTGGGACACGTAGTTGCAAACCTAGCGACTTTGTTGTTAGATTCAATGACTTTTCAGACCCCCTAACGACTTTTTTTTAGAAAGAAAGGGACTTTTATCGACTTCTTCTGGAGTTTAGAGACTCTGACATGAAGCAGGCTTTCCTTACTGAGGAGTTAGCAACGCTGCTAAGGGTGCAGAGCCACACATGCGCTCAGAGCTCTGCATGGGAGACTGAAGCTGACAGAGCTGCAGCAGTTAGCAGGTTTCACCCTCAGAGACCACCAGGGGTTCATGTTGAGGCATTTTAATTTTTTTTTTTTTTGTGCCATAGACACTGTCAGCACAATCTGCAGTTACACTAACAAAAATGCTGCAAAAAACAAAGAATTATGGAAAAATTACACATGGACTGACATAGAGGAGGATCTACACAAGTTTTTTACATCATGTTTTACATCATGCATCATTTACATCATGTTTTTTTTTGTAGTGGCATAAATAAAAAGTGACATTTGTGAGACTATACAGTGTTTTGTAAATAATTTTACAAAGAACGCCTGGGCCATTGCCTGCATTTTGATGTAAATAGAGGTAAATCACTATGTTCTTTGTTAAAAATTTGCATATGTTTTGAAGTTTACAATTTTTATTTGAAGTTTAAGTTTTAAAAACGGTTCATCACACATATTTGTGGTTTTCACAGTAAAAATGTTACTTTTTTCCACTCGGATTTTATGTTTTGTGTGTGAATTTGGGTCCATTGTGTAAATTCAGTATGTCAACATGATAAAATAACTGTAAATTCGCACAGGTGAGGTTGTGCTGAAAAAAAATGATACCAGGCAAGGCACGTGATTGTCAAATTTTGTGTCAATATGACAAAGCGTATAGGCGTGACACTCAACAACGTGTATTTTCACCTTAGGGGACAAGAAAAAATGGACTTTTTTCTCCTGCCATGGGGGGGCGCTCTTTTGGGGAGTAAAAATTCCTTCACAAATGTGTTGATGGCTGGACATTGCATCATCCTAGAAAACTTGGAGGCCAGTGAGGACAAAAATAAAAAGTTATAAGACTTTTAAATATGTGGATTTTAGTGTTATCTTTGGCGCCCCCTAGAACCTAAACCGTGGGGTGCAGCGTCATGATTTGAATAACTTTTAATGGCCATGGGGTGTAGATTGGCCTGAGCAAATGTGGTGCCGGTGGAACTAAAGCCTTAGGAGGAGTTAGCCACATTCCAATGTGTGCGGATCGGCAAAAAATGCGGAATAACCCTTTAACCGTACATTTGACAGATACGCGCGCATTGACTTTTTCGTAGATCTTATTGAGTTACATGTGTGTGTCAATTTTTGTGTCATTTTGACAAAGCGTATAGGCGTGACACTCAACAACGTGTATTTTCACCTTAGGGGACAAGAAAAAATGGACTTTTTTCTCCTGCCATGGGGGGGCGCTCTTTTGGGGAGTAAAAATTCCTTCACAAATGTGTTGATGGCTGGACATTGCATCATCCTAGAAAACTTGGAGGCCAGTGAGGACAAAAATAAAAAGTTATAAGACTTTTAAATATGTGGATTTTAGTGTTATCTTTGGCGCC